CTAAATATTCTTAAAATTAAAAGTTTGTTGTCATTTGGAAGTGTGTAGGCCTTGCATTATTATGCTGTTACATTATGATTATATATTCAGTGGCATAAAATTGTCTTTAAAATGACAATAATATCGCTTATCGCAATTATTTCTGGGGCAATATATCGCACAACAAAAAGTTGTTATCGTGACAGGCCTACAGAGAGGGAGCTTGAGTTGCTAAAAGACCTTATTTTGATTTAATTTCTTAGACTCACACATAACTTTTCAGTCATGATAACAATGCCAACAGCAGAGCCTAAAGAGATCTGTCCATTAAACATGATTATGCCAGAGGGCATTCCTTCATGTTACTGTTATGTTGATATTTGGCAGACAGCTCTGGGATGTCTAAACTGTTGTGGTGACCAAAGTAGATCGTAATCTGTTTTGTAATCAACATCTCGCCATCATAGCATTTTTTTTCTGAGCATGCCACAGGCGTTTTAACAGCATTGTGAACTACTTTAATAAGAGTTACATGAGGAAAGGCTGGAATACACTACACAATTTTTTCCCCCCCATTTACAGTCTGAACAAGTTGAAGCTAGTTGCCAAAAGTCAGAGCCAGTCTGCAGATTTGAGTTGACAGAAAATCACATAGTGTATGGTAGTCAAAGACTCTTCTTTTTAACAGTTGGAGGATATTATGGTGACAAGAGGTGCGTCCGATTCCTTTCTTGCACTGATATCTTGATTATCCAGCTCATGTCTTTGCAGGAGTTCATGAACTCCTTTTGCCTTTGTATCGTCTTCTACAGAGTGCTAAGGTGATTCACACTTGTACAGTGAGTGTCCTGATTTTATATTTGGAATCGTGATGTGCCTCACACTTATTTCTATGTGGTTTTGAAGGTGATTTAAAGTGTTCGGAAGATGTACATCGCTAACCACACACCTTAACCTTACTTTCATTTTGCCTAATGCGCAGTGAAAGTGTTATTATTAGCGTGCGTTTTCCATTTTATGTCTTGCAGAGATGCTATGAACACAAGCAGTACAGAAATGGGCTCAAGTTTTGCAAACAGATCCTGTCCAACCCGAAGTTCGCCGAACACGGAGGTAAGCCCATTCTCAGACATTCATTACTTCACTTTCTCATCATTTTGACTAATTAAATTTGTTGAGCGCATGATGATCTCTTTTTTTTCCATCCCGCAGAGACCCTTGCAATGAAAGGACTGACTCTGAACTGCTTGGGCCGAAAGGAGGAGGCGTATGACCTAGTGCGACGTGGCTTACGAAATGATCTGAAGAGTCATGTCTGTATCCTTAACACTTTTTCCACTGTCAGTAGATTCATAAAAAGCGCTGTCAAAAGAATAATGAGTAATATCTGTGCACAACTGTTAAAGTGAAGTTAAAGTGACGTGATGTGTGGCCAAGTATGGTGTCCAATACTCGGAAATTGTGCTCTGCATTTAAAGGGGTCATATGATGCGATCCCGGGGAGCAGTTGGGGGTTCGGTGCCTAGCTCAAGGGTCTCACCTCAGTCGTGAGAGCTTTTTATCGTTTTTAACCTTACCACATTTTAAAGGCACAATATGTACGATTTTTTTATTAAAATATCCAAAAACCACTAGAACAGTGTTATATATTTTGCTGACTTGTGTACTTACATTATCCCAAATGTTTCGAAGAATGTTTAAATCCAGAGAAATAGGCAATTTTAACTAGTGACACGGACCGTGTCTACAGTGTCATTGTGTCGCCTGCCAATGACGTCATAACCCCTCAATTTCCGGTTTTGTTTTGTAGAAAACATGGAAAAACCAAAGACGCTTTAATATG